GTTTCAACATTTGGACTCTGGCCCAACAACAAAAAGACACACTACCTAACCAAAATTTGCCAAGTTCTTTTCTCTATACCTTTCTTCTACTCTCTCATTCACATTCTCTTCAGTTAATGAACCCAGTTTTGCATTTGAGTTTTGGTCGCTTGTGAAAGCTTATTGCGAATTTGATTGCACGAATTTTCTTTCATGTGGCTCAAACCGAAGTGAATCACGATGTGCGTATTTGCAAAAATAAAGTCAAAGAAAATTATGCGAATGCCTCAAAATGAAACAAACAAAAAGAACAACAAAACTTCGAACAATTTTTTTAAATACCTATACCGTTAGACACATTCGATACACACTCGGGTTTTTGTTCTAAAGCGCTCTCAACCATTACATCTACTTGCCGAAAAAAAAATTGAACGAACGAACGAACAAATTCCAAATCGAAATCCCAAACAACAAACATAAAACAGCTAAACATAACATAAGTTGTTAGTTAGTTTTGATTCGGTTTCGCGCCGAGTTTTGTTTCATTGTCATGCACAACGCACGCACTTAATCTTCATTCTTTTTGGTCGTAGTCGTTTTCGGTACAAATATCGAACTTCATATGTGGCTTCATCGTTGTATACTAATTGTAATTACAGCAATATAAATTGGATTTTCGATTTTCCGAAATTCTCTGTGTATGTCTATGTGTGGATTGAAGTGAAAGAATCGAAAGAACAAAAAAAAAATATACAAAGTAAGAGAACCACACAAAGCCAAACATTAGAATGTGTGTAAAATTCATGTGCCGACCTTTTTCGTCTTCATTTTCGAGTATTTAACTTCAAGTTCTTTTTTATGATTCGTTATTTTCTTCTTGTTGATTTCGTCGTTTCTTGCGCACATTGTTGCCGCAAATGACACGGTATTGTAACCGTTTTATAAAAGGTAATCATCAACAACGCATATGCAAGCAAAAAAAGGAAAGAGAAGAGAATTCGAAAGAAAAAAAATGTCAGAAACACTTTCAGAATACTCCGTAAAATAATTTTCTGGACGCGCAACTTCTATGAAAAGAAGAGAGACACATGATTATATACTAACGAAAACAATTCATCAGAGTTGTTTCAAGTGTTGCTTTTGCCCTCTCTCTGTCGTTGATGAGAAATGAAACATTTTCGAATTATAGTTTTACTCTTGGACTCACATAGAATATTACGCAAAGAAGACTTGGTATTCTCTTACTCGGAGCTTGCCTCATGTTATTCAACACTTATATTTTCGGTGTTTTATTCCATTAAATTTCATACTCATACCGTATTATGTGTGTGTGTTCGTCTTTGGAATGAATCGAAGTCGAATCAAATTAGTGTTAGAAGGTTCGGTGTCGGTTACTAAGCGACCCACCATCTCATTCTCTTCAACTTATTGTAATATGCCTGTGAATTACGTCGCCCTCGAACACGAAATTCGGTGCGTATTTGTCTATGACATCTAATTGCGTCTTCTATTACAGACTCCATGCTAAAAATAGACTGAACCGTACAAATAATTTAATTGGTGAATTTATCTACTCTCGTCCATCGGTTTTCTTATTCTTTCGATTTAGTGAAATCTCACTTTGATGTTCGTGTTTGTCTTCTGATTTTTTTTCTATTTAAATTCAATCACATTTTGCGTACGCAAACCTGCCGACAAAATAGAGAAGATGATAAATGTTGGTACCTAAATCAGAGCTAAAATTATTGTTATTATTCTATTAGAAATCGGACCGAATTTTTTCTCTGTTCACAACATGAATTATTCAAACTGCTTTGGATCTTTTTGTTTACTATGAACTACATCTATTTCACACAATAAAAATCAAATCTAAATCAAAAGAATGTAAAATAAGGGGCAGAATATTTTTTTTCCTCTATATCTTCCTAAGCTAGCTTATAAAGATACGGATTTTAAAAAAATACTCTGAATTCCAAAAGTTATTTTCATTGATGTCAAATTGTTTACCACCGAATAAAATTAATCCACTCATCTTTGAATCGTATAATCTTCGGGTCAATTTACTCCAACACACACGAAACAAATTCTTTGAAGACATCGGAATTTAAATAATCATTCGATTTGACATGTTCTTATTGCATAAATGTTACAATTGTGTGTTGCCCTCTTTATGTGTATACGCGCTTTGTTAAACGATTTAAAAAAAGTGCTAATCTTATTTTGACCTTTTTCTATTTCGCACATTCAGTTTAGCCTCTTATATCCATGTCACACTCTGTCACACTTTCAATCTAATACATTGTAAGAAAATATCATTTTCATGTTTTGTGAGTGTAATATCGACACTTTCGTGTGATTTTTGTAAACATTATCTCAAAAAAGCAAAACGAAAGAAAATTGCAAAATCGATACACCCAGCACATGCATTCCAAGCGCTATTCATGACAGAAAACAAGATGAAGAAAACAAAGGTGTTGTAGTGATTTCGAATGAAAAAGAAAATCTGTATAGTCTACACTCGTATCCAATGGTTTAACTTAATGGAATCGTAAAAGTCAGATAAATATGTATTCCGATTGAAAGATTTATTTGTAGCTTATATTATAATACGGCCTTGGCGCATTCGATTTACATTATTTAAGAACAACAAGAGTCAAACACTTATAGAGAAAACCACAAAACGTTTTCTTCTTCAAATACACATTTTTATTGTCGTATATTTGCGATTTACCAAATGGAATTGTGCTATTAGGCGTGTTCCTGTTTCTTTTTTTTTACAAAACCTTCTCGCGCACATTCCACCGCGCCAATTGGTTCAGTGTCCGCGCGTTAATAGGCAACATCACATTGGTTTTGATTTTCTCGAAATCTCGACACATTGGTTTTGATTTGCGTTGATGTAATAGAGTATAGATTTTTTTCATAAGCATCTCGATTGTGTTACAAATGGTGTGCATTTGTTTGTTATAAACATTGAAAGTACTTCACGTATTTGTTATTTATTGGTCTTTGTTTATTATTTTTTATGTTTGTATGTGTGTGTGCTTTTATTCATTTTTCGTCGGAATTTCACATAATTTGTTGACGGCGATTTTCTTCCCAACTATTATATTATAATTTGTGTGGCAAAGCCCCAACACTCGGCAGAAGAATTGGTTTTTTTGCACATTTCAAAAATAGTTTTTTGTATATATTTTTTTTATACATTTAAATTGCCGTCTACGTCGACGTCTATTTTCGATCTCGCTAGCGTTCGATTTTTATAGCCAGAAATGTAAACGATGGACATTTGTAAGCCTTTGAATGAGTGAATGTGATTTATAAGCGATTGAACCAATCACTTTGTTTAAAGCATTTTTTTCGCTACACTCACACTTCAAATCAAATGGCGTTCAAGTTAACAAAAATTTATCGCCGCGATATCATGCTTGTACTATTAAATGCCTTTCAATGTAATGCGTACGCCACCATTTAGTTACATATTTAGATGAGTGATCGCGATTCGCATTGGAAACAAATCTAACAAGTGATTCTTTTTTCCGACACACACACATTTGTATATCAAAATTGCTGTTTTTTTGCTTGTTGATTTCAATAACAGACAGCACGAACTAGTACATTACATTCAAATGGTTTTTTTTAACATAGAAAATGAGAGGCGCTATTTTATTATCACATACTTTAGTGATGATTGTACAATGATGAAAACGACAAAACCACGTTGCTTCTTTTTTATTGTTGGTTGTTGATCTAACTCACTCTTTCTCTCTCTCTCTCTCTCTCTCTCTCTCTCTCTCTCTCTCTCTCTCT